CTTAAATCTGGATTTCAGATAAACAATGAATATTTTTAGCATAAGTCTGTCCCATGGAATACTGGGGACATATTTATACCCCAAAATTACTGTTTATCTGAAATTTAAATGTAACTGGGCAGCCTGTATTTTTATTTACTAAATTCTGTGATCTTATGGAGGATGAGGCCAGAAGGTTCAGCAGTGCAAGATCACAAAGAACCTTGTGTCTCATGCCTGGCAGATAACAGGGACCCGTGGAAATTTTAAGCAGAATAATATAACCGGGTTTGCATTTTATTTTATTTTATTAATTAATTTATTTTAAAACTTTTTTTATTGAGTTATAGTCATTTTACAATATTGTGTCAAATTCCAGTGCAGAGCAATTTTTCAGTTATACATGAACATACATATATTCATTGTCCCATTTTTTTTTCGCTGTGAGCTACCACAAGATCTTGTATATATTTCCCTGTGCTATACAGTATAATCTTGTTTATCTATTTTACATTTTAAAATTAACCGGGTTTGCATTTTAGAATCATCCTTGTAGCAACCCTTTGAAGAACAGCTCACAAAGAAAGGAACCGTGAGATTAGAAAGCTGTTTAAATAGACTCAAGAACTGAATATAATTTTGCTTACTTCACAATTCTGCCTGATGCTAGTGAGATTCTCAGATTCCCTTGTGCTATAGAGACAAAATTATTCTTTCAAGATCTACTCTTTGTTTCAAGGAACAAAAAATTTTCCAGGGGGGTAGGGGCAGGGAATATATATATATATATTTTGCCCAAACCCTGTGTCTGTCACATACTTCTTGAGGAAGCTGGAAAGGTATGTGTCTGTATCAGCCTCCCACTAGCAAGCTCAATGTCTTGTTCACCATCGCACTCCTAGTAGGTAATCAACGAATGCTTGTTGAATGAGTTCTGTAAAGGCAAAGTCTATCTTCATCATCTTGGTTTCCTTAAAATCTGACCCAGGGCTGGAAATAAATTTCTCAGAAAATAGTTCTTGATTAAAGTGATCTAATTAACAACCAGAAGTGCTTCCTTTTAACTACATTTGTCCAACATGACTTCAAAGATACAACCTGGTGTATTTTTCACATGAATGCAAAAGAAGCCTGCCCCTTTTACAGGACCAGAAGACTGTTTTCAAAGGCTGTAGAATGATGCTGATTAAATGGAGTTTTAAAGGTAATCTTCCTCATTTATGTGAAAATTTTTGAGGGTTTTTTTGTTTGTTTGTTTTTGGTGGGGGGGGGCACTTTCCTAACTGCTTCCACAAGTTTTGTCACTGCCTGGGTATTAATAAATCTACATCTTAATGAAACATTTCTCAGGTAGATCATCATAAATCAGTCACTTGTCTTCAGTCCACCAGTTATCAGTATGAACTATATGCCGTGTAGTTGAACTACACACGTATAGAGAACTATTTGCCATGTAGTTCCTGGCATATGTATCTTTTCCAAGGCTGAAGTGTGAACTTAAGGGTAAGACTTCGTATTTATCTCAATAGTCAAAGAACTTTTCCCAATAGCAGATTTGTTGAAGGGTCAAGAGCAGGAAGCCAAAAGGGATAGAAAAATTCTAAAAGTGCATGGGGGTAAATAAGAATACAATTAGAGATCATTACAGCTACTTGTTATTAAAAAACTATGTTCCAAGTACCATCCTAGGTCTTTACATATATTTTATTAAATTTTGATTAAATTTTAATCCTAAAAACTCCTCTTTGAGCTAGGTGTTGAATCCTCATATGTGTAAAGAAACTGGGAATCAGAACTGATGGGTAACTGACCCAGGAAGACACAGCTAACAGACTGGCAGAGCTGAGATTAGGACCTGATTCCAAAGTCCATCTCACATACCAAGAATTGTCATTTTTCAAGTGTGTATTGGAGAGATGAAAGAAGATTGTTGGAGTGCCTCTAAGAGCTCTTTTTAATCAGCAGCTCTGTAGTAACCCAGAGGACTAAACTTTGATCTCTATAGTGATGTGAGCACACATATGTGGAAGGCAAGGGACATGGAGGTGTTTCCTATACTTTTGAGCTGTCCCTTTTTTTCTCTGTTTAGCTTTGGTTTTAAGGGACCACATGACTTTACACAAAATTAGGCTTCATTGCCACCTTTCTGGAGGTTGATATTATTGCCCATGAAATTATTGTCACACTGTTATTATCTGGGATGAGACACGGTCTTTAGATGTTACAATCAGTAATACCAACTTCTCTGCCCCAACCAAAGGAAAAGGTGCAGTTCGTGCTCAGATATGCAACTGGAACCTCACTGGTCTGGATGCCTATGAATTTATCTGCTACAATCCAGACCCTCTTCCCAGCTATAAGTATAACTGCAGACCTCAGCTATTTCCTAGTCTTTTAAAGTTGCAAATGTACACTTTTGTCCAGATGCTGACATCTTTCCAGCAGCCCTCTTCAGCTCTGCCAGCCTCCTCACTAGGTCACTCAGTTCCAGAAGGAATCAGTCTCATAAAGCATATTGCCTGATAATTTAATTCCAGGCTAAGCAGGATAAAATCAGTTTAAGCTTCACCAACCTTTCGGAGTCCATGAAAGCAAAAGTCAAAGGGCAAGTGTTGCCATAACTAATTATTTGAATTAGATGGAATTTGAAGAAGAGGGACCAAATATGGTAAAAAAAAAAAAAAGGGAAACAGCAGTTGGTTTAAAAAAAAGTTGAGAAAGCAAATTATGCTTTGCTTGGCCCTATAAATTAGAAGCCCCCCAAAAATGGTCTTCAAAGGTGTAAGAATCAAAAACCATCTCCAGTGCTCTGCTTTCACTGAAAAGGAAGGAAGGAATTTTCTAGAGATGGTCAGGTTGGAATTACGGAAAAAAATCCTCTTCAGACCTTCATTGGTTCATTCATTGCCAGGCGAGGTGGTAAACATGGGAGATGTAACCTGAACCGCATGGCCCTGGCCTTCAAAGCTTACCCTCTAGTTCAGGGAGGTACACAAATTGTGCCGTACACTTAACTGTGAAAGGCACCAGTACATAAATACAAAAAGGACACACTGGATGCACAGAGGCGGAGTGGTCACCTCTGATTTTAATAAAAGCAATTCATAACAATCATGTAGGGTTACTCAATGAAATGGTAAACTCTCCCAGGAAAAGGTAAAAGAGAACCTAAATTAACAGATACACTGGAGTCAAATCACAAAAAAAGGGCGTTTTGAAGAAGCAATCAGTTCACACTGGACACCATCTTTAATTTCTAGGAAATGAATTTCCGAAAGTAGAATTGCTGCTATACGTCGTTAACTCCCCCTCCCCAGCTCTCCACCGCCATCCCTCTAACATATATCAGGTGAGCGGGGCTCAACTCGAATTAAATGTGCGACCTGGAGCAACTCAGTACCTCAGTTTCTTCGCCTGTAAAGTGAGGAACCCCACACAATTCTATAAAGTCCATTTCTGCAATGAATTATGAAATAGGACAAGAAATCAGAAAGGAAACTCAAAAGAAACAAAAGTGAAAGTGCTCAAAGGAAATACAGCAGTAAACAAAAGCACAAAATCCTATACCTCACTGAAAATTGTGGCGGAGTTCCCAAATACTTTTTGTCTCAGCAACTGTGAACGCGAGCCTTGGGAGAGAATGAAATATTCATCTATCACGCCCTCTGAATGTGAATGGGATGAAAGTAACACGAATCCACCTTGCTCCGTGCAACTGTCTTCTTAAACAATGCTCCCTGACCTCGAACAACCACATACTAAAAATTTCCTCCTAAATAAGTCAATCCGCGATGAATGATCCCTCCCTACATTACAAACCCCAGGGAACACCGCACAAGGGTGTGTCCCACTTTGGAAAGAGAGAGAAAAGGGGATAGAGAAAGAAAGGAAGGATTCCAACCAATATTAGATTCTACCTAGTATTGCCACGCGGTTGTCACGCACAACAGCATCCAAGCAAACTATTTTAAAACTTGTGAAATACGATAGCCTTTCAACGTTATCATTCCCTCCTTCATGGTATTAATGAGACTTATCTGCACCCCTAACGGTACACCGCCCGGGAGCAAGAGCGTGAGCTCTGGGGTGGACCGGCAAGTGGAGGCGGCCAAAAAAAGCACGAAGCTGACAGATTCGCAGACAGTCGGCGGCGGCTGTGGACCGGGACCCGCGACCGCCACGGCTAGAGGGCTCGATCTGCACCCACCGGGGTCACACGGCTTCCAAGGTGGGAAGATGCTCACTGATCGCTCTGGGAGCCTCCCTTCTCAGAGCGGAGGAGGGAAGGGCGTGCGCGCGCACACACAGACATACACACACGCACACATCCTTTCCCAGGAGTTGTGTCTGGTCTCTCTTTTGTTTTTCTCCCTTCGCGGTCATGAGACCCGGAAGTTTTTTTTTTTTTTTTTAATCCTGTCTCTCTCCCTTTTCCAACCCCCACCCCCCCCAATCTATCACATGGCAGAGATAGAATAAAAACAGAAAAATGGCGACGGTCACGTTGTAGCGAGCACGTTGTATCCTTGCTGCGTCATTAGATAATCCTCATGCA